CGGTTATAAGTTTATCAAATGTAAATGTTTTGACATTAATAGCTTAAATAGACAATTGTAACTGTAGATATAGACTCAAAGTCTCTATTGTATCTTAAATTTGGGAGCCCTAAGATTTAATTATAAATATAACTTACCTTTTTAAAAGAAAATATTTTTAAAATATAATTCTATGAAAAAATTATAGAAAGTAAATTAAAAAATATTTTAAGTGATATTTTCTGTTTTATTGGTATTTCAAAATAAATAAAAAAATTAATTTTCAATAGCGTTCTCTGTTAAATAATTCTATAATATAAGTATTTTACTTTTACATTTTTTTACTAACCAATGTCCATATTGTTCTCCATCCTCATAACAATCAATTGGACTATGTTCATTTGATAAACTAAGCCACTCAATCGTATAACAGTTCAACCCTTCCGGTTTTTCCTCGTGAGAAAGATACAATCGAGCTTTTTTCATCCATTCAAAACATTGCATTCCATCAAGTTTATTATGTTCTGTTAAACAGTCGAACGTTTTTTCTTTCTCTGCGAGTTCCATACCTAACTGGCCAAATGCTATTTCGTGGCCATCAATACTATATAATCGTAAAAAGCGATCCTCTTTGTTAAATCTTGTATGTTTAAAGTATGCCCTCTAATAATACATAAAATTAAGGATATTTCAAATTCAATTTATCGTCATTCTAGGTATTTTTTACTTGTAACACGTGTCTATCATAGTATATGTGTGCGAATTTTAACAAACAAACGATGACCACAAATAAAAATATTATAAAGACTCTCAATTTGTAATCAGCTCGTGATTTTTTATCCTTTGTCATTTTTTGAATATTTAGCTATAAAATATACTTTTATTTATAAATATTACTTGATTCAAGAACAGCTTATGTAATAATTTTTATAAAAATTAGTAATTGGCCTAATATTTATAACATGAAATAGCGTAACTAAGGTTTCGTTCTAAAAAAGGGTATACATATGAAAATGTTTACTATTCTCTCAAAACAAAAAAAATTCTATGTTCATTATACAATAATTTTTGCCTTGTGGTTATGAAACTCATATCCACGTTGTTGGACCAATGATAACCTCATTAAATACAGATAAAAAGGAATGGGACGAAAGATAATTTTAAACTAGGAAAGTTTTACTAATATAAATAACTAATTAAAAGAAAATGAAACTATTTAAAACATTTTCAACAAAAAAATTATTCTGCATTAGAATTAAAAAAAAAATCCTAAATTTATAAAAATATAACTTTAACACTTTTTGTATTGCGTGAAAGATATTTTTTAATACGTCTTAGCTATATTATATTAATACCATTAGTTTTTCTCGTAACAAACTTGAAATTGAATTGACACTTGTTAATGAATTCATCGAGGCATCTGTGTCGTCATTAATATCATATTTATCTGAATCTGTTTGTGAAGCTATTGATAAATTTCTAGGTTTATATACGGCGGGCAACCTGCAGCACATTTAGGTGAAAATTAATTTTTTTTATTATCATTATTAAACCTATAATTCGTAAAAAGAGTGATTAAAATCTGGTAAGACACTTATTTTCTCAAAAAATATTAAAAAATTAAAATTTTTATAAAGAAACAATTTATTTGGTTCAAAAATTCTATAATCATTTGTAGTGAGAAAAATTTTATTTTCATCACTACAAGGTAAAAAAATTATAGATTTTATTTTCTTAAATGGGAATTTCTATTTTTTACTTGTTAGTATGACAAAATAATAATGTACAGACAATTTAGTTTTTAGAATTCTTTTATCTGATCAACCGTTCATTTGTTACAACATGTTAAAGTTAACTGATTTTAGTTCAAAATTCTATTGATATTTTACTGTTTCAAATACAGTAGTTTTCGAGTTTCTATGTTGTAACATATAGTAATTTTTATTGACTTAGGATATCACAAATAAGATAGCAGAATAAAATATTAAAATAAATCATTTATACCCAAACAGACTATTGCCGGTAGTAATAATAGTTTTATAATACTAGTGGCATAATCGCAGTATTATAAAATCAAATTATTAAACAATTTTATAAAGTGAGCGATTGACTGGATAAAAAATTTACAAGAACATAATTGTTTGTAATTTTTTTTCTATTACATTACCGAGTTCAAGTAAAATTTCCATTTAATAAAATTAAATTTAAAGATTTATATCCCTGAAAGAATGAAAAAAAAATTATTTTACTATATTACATATTATTGTGGATATTTTTAAACCTAATATTTTTCCTCTTTATAAAAGTTTAACATTTCAATAGTTTTTAAAAAAATGAGTGTCTTATCACATACATTTATAATAGTTAAGTATAATTTTTATCAAGTATAAAATTAATTGTAATCTGAAATTCAATTTTAGAATTTTTAAAAGCACCTAAAAAATGATATCAACCAGTAATTATGGTTAAGTAACTCGCTAATGACTACGAACTTTTGAATAAGTGATCACCTCAGATTTATAGTAATAATCAAAACTCTAAATTAACAAAAAATTTAAAACTTTCATGAAACGATCCTATTGGACCGTCTGTCACTAGTATTAATCCAAATATCGTAAGCTTTTTATATATTATTTTTATTATTACTATGAACTGTGAAATAATAGGTTTGAAATAAATTTAATTAAACAAATTTTTTAAAAACAGATATCAGTGATGGATAGTTTTAAAACTATAGTTAACAAATATTAAGCATTTTTCTCAACTACTTACATGATTTTTTTATGATTATGAACTGATCCGTGAGATCGATGATTGTGATGAACAACCATGTCTTCTAATAAGTCGCTAAAAGTATCACTAGAATCATAGCCATCTGACTTAATTCTTTCTGGAGTTAACTAATATTACATAAAAATAATGTTTTTATACCTTTATTAACGCTGGAAACAATTAATTTTTACTGTTGTATTATAAATGCTATAGCTTATAATAATATATATAACACTTATTTGTTAGTATCAAATTTAATGGAAATTAAATGAATAAAACAAAGGCCGGTTTTAGAGTCAAAGAGATCCTAAGCAATTATTAAGTAGAACCACTCTTTGATATTATATCAAATAAAAACTATTAATAGATTAGCTTCTGTACCTAAAATTTCGATCCTAACTGCTTCGAGTAAGTTGAAAGACGGAATTTTTTCTTTGTTTTAGTTAAAACTAAGAAAAAATTAACGAAACTAGTGGTCAAATTACCATTTTTTACTTGAAATTGGTAAAATTAAAAAACAGCGCTAGAGAGAAATGAGGACCTCACAAAATATAGATTATTTAAAATTCACATAAAATATCATTATAAAATATACTTTTACCTGAGGTTCATATTCAGCAGGTTCTTCTGTATAATCTCCTATGCACCAACTATGATTAGACAAATCACCAGACGATTCACTGGAACCAATGCGAAATGGCACCGACATAGTTTCAGTGTGTACAAACTTCTAAGGCGTAAATATATAATCCTTTACTAAAGTACTCGAGTACGGAACAATTTAACAACAAACGTTGTTGACTAATTGTATTTAATTGAACGTGTCCTTTAAAGGCCCACGTTTATTACATAGAGTTCTATACAATATTCTCAAAACAATCCTTAGGGATATAATTTGTTCATGATTTTCTTTAACATTATAAGATCTTAATGCATTATCCTTNTCATGATTTTCTTTAACATTATAAGATCTTAATTCATTAAAAGTTACTTACAAAATAGAAAATATGCAGTTTTTAAATCTAGACATAAAAGAATAATTGAGGGAATTTAAACTTAAATTTCAGGAATATTATAAAAATCTATTTTTTTAATTTGTTTACTGAGTGATTTTCAAACCTCTCGTAATGCTGAATTTTAAAAATCTGTACTATTTTAATGAATTGGCTTTTAAATTAAAAATGTTAATTTTTCGCCATTAAATACAATATTGAAAATATATGTATTAATAAAACTTCTACAGAGTTATCTTATTATATAACAGAACAAGGAAAAAACGCTTTCCTGGGAAAATTACTCGGCGTGCTCCAATTTTCAAAAAAAAATTTTTATAACAAAAGTACTCGGTTACGAGACTCCGGGAAAATTATTGGCAAAGATCAAAAAATGTTTGTCGCTCGCTCGCTTACGCTTTTAAAATTTCGACAGTTTTCGAGAAAAACGCTCGTTGATAACAGCGTTTTATAACTTAAAGTTTGAAATTTTTACCAGACCCGCCCAAAGACAATTCTGAAATATTATAAAAAAAATTTATTCAATCTGTTCGTTTTTCACTGTTCTATGAGCTTTTTTTTTTTAAAGTCCACACGCATGTTTTGAATAGAGGTGTTGACTCATTTTTGCGCATATATATATATATATTTTAATCCTGAATTTGTAGATAATTTCTTGTGGCTATTTAATTTTTTATACATGTTATAGTTTCATATTTTTATTGTTTGTTTTTGATTTGATATATTGTTTATATATATTACTTATATAGTTTTTTGAGTATAAAGATATTTTCTATAAATTACTATTAAACAAATTTATAATATAAAACTTGTGGATATATATGATCAAATTCATTGGTATATATAGAAGTGTTCAAACAAATTAAAAGGTATATATAGAGTGTTTAGTAAGTAAGGAAACAAGTAAATTGTTACAAACAATGAGAACAATAGAAACCTGTTGCCTAAAAATTCTGTATATACCATTTATTTGTTTGAACATTATAATCAATTTAATGTTCATATATATTTTATTCGCTTTGAAGATTTTTTTTATGTCCACGCAGAGATTATATTAACACACGATTTTGTATTTGTCCTTATATAATTTGTATCTTTTATCAATGAATATTTGATAAGTTATATATTAATAAAACAGCACGGTTATAAGTTTGTACATACATTATCTGTATAGTACAGACTATTAATAATCTTATTTATCTCATATATAATGTATAAGTCTATGAGTTTTTCGTAAAAACTGTGATCCATTTTTGAAAACTATGCTATACAGCATCAAATCACAATAATTGATATTCTTACCAAAATTGACTTTTTTACATAGTCCTAAGAATAATAACCTGCATAATTATTTTGTGATTATTTTATATTAGCACAATTATTATAATTAGAATAATTAATTACTATGTATACCAGAGGCGTATTTAATGGTGTTTGTCACCCTTAGACAAGTGTTATTAATATTTTTTACACCGATATTTAAGATATATGACTCAAAAGACTTTTTTTATCATTACTTTGATTTTTATCCAAAAAATCTCTATAGCATGTTTACCAAAGTAAAAAAATATTAATTACTCTCGTAAAAATAATTTCTGAATACGCCCCTGGTAAATACCTCAGTAAACACACGTCAACTTTACATTCAATACAATTTACTATTTTCTCTTTTCGAATTTTTCTAATTATAAAATTTAATTTTTGCTACATCGACTCTGATGATGTAATATTTTTTCTATAAAACACTAACGAAACCCGACGTAACCGGTTACACTTACCGGAATCAGTGGAACTACTTATAAAGCCAAGCAAAGCCTAGTTAATAAATTTACATTTTCAAATAAAAAATAAACTATTGTTTAGAGGGGAGAAGTGAGACGGTTTTTGCTGGGGTGATAAATCCTGACTCACTTTTTTTATAAATAGCTAATATTTTATAATAGCTAATCAAGATAACTTTAAGGAGGAAATCTACCACCCTATAGCAACATCTCTACTTGATTATAACTTTTAATAATATATCACCATGGTACATAAATATAGCTAACTAAATAATATTTAATTATTTATAATTGAAAAAAAAGGCTATCATATTGTAATAGTTTAATGTAGTATATTTCATTCAATATTTTCTTTTATATTTTTTTACATAACTAAAATAGTTACACACATTACAATGTCGATCATGCAAATTTAAAAACAGTGAAAAATGTTTGCTTACATAAAACCAAATTATAAATAAAAATTGAGTATCATACACTTATATAAAATTATTTAGCATAGCATTTTCCTTAGTTTGATAAAATTAAAACAAACGTTATGTAATTGAAAAATGAACAAAAAAAAGTTTTAAGGAAAATATAGTATTTATTTTATTAAAATACCCTCTATTATTTTAATACTTAAAAATTTAAATAGATATATCTAATAATTTTCAAGTATTTATATGAGCACAGGAAGTGAGCCAGCCTTAAATTGCTTATTTAAATTATAATATTTAAAAACAATAATAAACAATAAAAAGATACAGTAGTTATAGTTATTACCTACACATTTAAAAACTGTTTTAATAACCAGTTAAGGTGAAAAATATTATTTGTTGATTTCAATTTACATACAATAAAACAATATTCTGTTTGTCATAAGTTAATCAATAATAAAGAATAAACGGTAATAATTATTACAAATTTATCAAGCTACACACAGTAATACAGTACATTTTGTATAACTCACATTCACTTTAATACACAAAAAAAAAGTTATATTGAATTATTTATAAATATAAATATATATATATTTATTTATAATTTATTATATAATGCACTAGTACTAAAATTAATTATTACACTACTCGAAAATGATTATATTTATACATAGTTTATTAGACAAAATTGACTACAGTGATGACAAAATAGAAAGAAAAATACATAATTCGCTACATTCATACATGCCATCAAATGAAAGTTAAAATAACCTAGAGATCTCATTAAAACATTATTTATAAGTAGTCCTGAATTAGAGGAATGAGAGAGAAAGGGAAGGAGTTTGAATCCATAAATAAAGTCACCTAAATAAGTCTTTTTTTCACCGTATCTTTTAAGCCTTAATGTCATAAGCTAGTCTAAGATGTAAATAATACTTGTACGTGTAGAGTACATAAAAAACAGTCTTATTAAAGTTATTCAGCTTATTATAAAAACTAGATACAGACTTGAATGCATATGAATAATATATAGAAAAAAAAAGAGAACACAAAAAATATATAAATATATAAACATTAATATTAGTAATATTAATTAATAATAAACAATAAAATTATAGAAAATAGTAAAGAGATTATGTGAGAAAACATTAATATAACTCACAAGAAATTTGCTAAGTGACAGAAAAAACCAACTGAATTTCTTTTATTTTACTAAATTTGCATTAATATCGGTTAAGTCAAAACATAGTGTAGAAAATTGTAGAAGATAATCACTAGTATAAATTGTGTATAATTGTTTAAACAAAATAAAATAAAAAGTGATATTTAGGTTGAATTACAAAATCCTGACCAAACAAGTTTAATTTACTATAATCATGTAGTAGGTAGCATATTTGTGATCATATTCCATAATTCCTTTTTGCATGATTTAGACCTAAAACAAAAAAATAAATTTGAAAATAATGTAACAAAAATTGTTATTATTTTACAAGTTAGATAATTTTTATATTCATACAGATAATTTTTTTTTATTATAACCTACTCAATTACTGATAAAATAAAAATAATTAGAACATTTTATTTGGTTAACTTTAGTTACTTATTATTTTTGAATTATTAGTGATATAGTGGAACATATATTTTGAATTAAATAAAATTTTAGAGGTTTTATTTTAATAGTAAATTGCATTTGAATTTTTAACATAAGTTTATTTGTTTATTAGGTATAAAACTTTAAAGTTTTAGTTAATTGCTTTTAATGACGTCGCTATTAGCAGATATGGAGTGTTAATTGTCAATTATGACTATTGACAGATACTCTTAAAGAATAGTCATAAAGTATTTTGTTGTGAATTATAATTTATAAAAATAAGAACTGACAATACAGAAAACATGTAAAGTTTAAAAATTAAGAACCTAACATTAAAATAATGATGATATATATATTTATATACATACATTTATTTATAGAATCTGTTGCAATTATTGTTTGGAATACAGTTCAAAGTACTTAAAAAAATTATAGTATTATAAGATTTAGTATAAATTAGTTGATTAAAAAATATTTTAAAAACATTTAATACTATAGAATGGTAAATTGAGATAATATGCTAGATCATCCAAAAAATATTTCATTATTGATTATCTTTAAAATATTGTCTTTAATTATAAATAAAATCAATATGAGCAAGTCATTAATTTGTCATTTTTTAGAATTTTATAGAATGTATTTTTAAAATAGTATTAATAATTAAACAAAACATTTTTTTATTACATACCTTTTAACAGACTGTAACCAGTCTTTAAACATTGCACTTCCTTCGGGAGTCATAGCAAAAGCACCATAAGCAGAATACAGTATTCCTACATAATCTTCATAGTCTGATGATGAGAGTTGATATAATTTCTGGTGAAGAAGTTGAATATACCTAGGCAAAATAATAAATTTATTGATTAAAAACTAATTAAAGACTTATTTGGTATGTATATGAAATAATCTATATTTATTTTTAAGTATAATTTTTAAAATGATTGTATAAATTAATATGGTTATAAAGCTACCAAAAAAAAAATTACATCTTTTGCTTTTCTTGATAAACCCATAATTATAACATGAATAATGACTAAATTTATATAATTTTTATTTAGCTCAAAATGTTGTGATTGATAGCCTAAAATTAACTTAGTAGGCACATTATATACTTATTATGAAGCTAAGAAGGTATTAATTTTGTAATAGCGTGTTTTTTTTATGCCTGTCCATGAAAATTCTCAACTTTCATTAGACAGATTTTAATGATCATTATGTCAAAGAATTCGATTTTAACCTAGTTAAACTATATAAAACCGAATATTAAAAAAAAACTTATTATTATAAATTTAAAAAAATATCTCAAAATTATGCAATGGTAAAAAGTTTTATACTCAAAAAAAAATATCATCAATACTTGTCCCAACTACTTCACATCCTCAGTGTGTCACAATCCTACTTATGCTGGGTTTTTAATTATTAGAAAGGTAATAATTTAGCTTAATATATTTTTTTAGAGATCTTAATTTAACACTTGTATACTAAATTTCATAAATTAGTAATTTCTATACAACCCTTAAAAATGAAATAAGTTACATTGTCATACTTACATTGTATGACATTTTTCAACTAATGGACTAAGAGATGGACACATAGTTGGACTGGGATTAAAATGTGCCATGTACAGAGCTGCTTCCATAGCCACATCATGAAGTATAAATGGATTTACAACACTATTAGTGACTGCCATACAAAATTGCTGTGTATAATTAGCTCCTAGAATAAAATCACAATAATTAATTTATTATAATACTAAATTACAATAATTGAAATAATAAAATAAAATTTACCTAATTTTTTTGAAAGTCGTAAGAGCCATTGAATATCTTCTCTAAATGGTGGGTTTCTTGAATATTTAGCTTGATTAGGTTCATGAACACGCCTGGCTAAAGTATCCAAAGCTAATAATCCTACTCTGTAAGCTGATGTCAAATGATGAATCTGCCGGAAATTTGGAGATTGCCGATGATTTCCCTGTGATAATAAGTTAAACATCCAGAAATTGAATAGATTAAAGAAAAACAAAACAATTTTTAGTTCTCAATAAAAATCAATAACCTGTGCTTGTTGTGGTGAACTCCTCATTTGACTACTATTTTGATTCATTGGCTGAACAAAATATTGAGGTGGTCCTTGATGAGATTGATTTTGAGGATTATTATTTTGAAACTGAACAGAGTTCTTAAAAAAATAAAATAATGAAAATATTTAACATTTGTAACATTTTTAATTAAGATTAATTACTAATAACAATAAAAAAGTAAGAATATTAACTTCTTACTTGAATATAAGGCGAGTAGTATGGGCCATATTGACTTGAAGCAGGCATTGTTGGATAGGGGTATAGCATAACTGTATTAGATTGCTGAGTATTGGGAGGTGGTTGTTGATTTTGTGTTATTGGCTGATTAGGAAAATACTGAACCGAAGACATTTGATACATGTGAGGTGGAGCAGTTTGTGGTGGTGCCATCAGTTGATGAGCATATAATGGAGGTGGTTGTTGAGACTGATCAACTGGCATTTGATAATTAGCTTGATAAACATAGGGGCACTTGAACTCTTCTCTTGGATCTACTTGCAACATATAATTATCTTCTTCTGAATTTGAATTCTATAATGGAATTATTAAAATAAAAATTAATTAATAAACATCAAAATTCTACAAAAATAAATTTCTCACTCTTATGTATAGGTCAAACCAATGTTTTGCTACACTAAACAATACTTCTGGAAATACTCCACCATTTTTAGCAGACATTTCAACGGTCAAGCAAGCTATCTCCATCATATGATCAGATTGTTCTTTACACTAAATAATAAGATATAAAGTCAAAAGAATTCATAATTTTACCAAATAAATTCAAATCAATAATTACTTGAAGTATAGCTCTAGTAATTTCATTAGGGTTTAGAGCTGCAGAATGTTTCAAACAAGATAATGCTAATTGAGCTGCTGCCTCAACAGTATTTCGTTCGTGACTCCTTGACATTCTATCTGCGATGTTAGCAACTTCAGCAGGTGTTAGATGTCCTTCCCAAGTACCAAGTAAAAATAAAGTAGCTGGTGCACCAATTTCCATTGCATGATCTCCAATCCACGTAACTTGGGAAGAATAATTACGGCTACGCCAGTTGGGAGAGACTCGATTTAAGAGACCCAAAGAGTACAAAGATAATTGAAAAGCACACATATGTAAAGCACGGTGAGGTTGAGTAGGTAATGGAGGCTGTGTAAATACAGTTGTCTGTATAGGACCACCAACTTTGCTTAAAATTATTTTACCCAACTCAAATAAGAAATGAGCATTTGCTTCTGATGCTTGATTAGGTTGATTAGGAAAAATCCTTTTACCATTTTTGTATCTAAATTAAAAAATTTCATTTTCAATTAATAATATAAATAATGTTAATATATATACAGAGTGTAATATCATTTAATCTACTAAAAATTTTGCATATAAATAATTAAATAAATAAAAAAATATATCATTATGGTTAAACTTACCTGTTATCTTTTCTAGTAGAAGATCCTGTATTATTATTAGTTGATGAAGTTGGAGGTAAAGAATTTAAGGTCATACTAGCAATATTTGTATCTAGTTCACCAGGTACACCAGTAGAATTGGGATTGTAACCTTGTGCTATAAAATGTAATTATTTATTAATAACCAATTTAAATATAAATGCATAGAGTAAGTCCTAGGTTAAATATTTATACTAGTGTAAGCACTTGATCACAAAAAAAGTTTTTTTAACACATGTTTTATTCATAAGTAATAATATTAATGATTCTTATTAAATTTTAAAATTCAACTAGAAAAACATTTATTAGATTATTTAGTTTTTTGAACTTAATGATTTTAAATTTCCTATTCATTGTAAATAAATAGTAAAAATGTAGGAATGCATCAATATTTAATATAGGATATTAACCAAATAGGTTTGTTCGGTATTGAGTTTTTTTAGATTTGATTTAGAATTTGTATACAACAATTAAAAAAATTAAGTTATCTAATCATTATAATTTATTAGTTTAATTACCTTGAGGTACCATGTTTCCATTGGCAACATTTCTCATAGCCATTAACGGAACATTTCTAGAATCCCTAATTTGATACCAACAGGCATCCATAGCAGATTTTAAAAATGGATGAACTTCTCTGTCTAATAATTTATCCATTGCCATAGCTAATCGAGTTGGATTGTTTTTGTAACGAATTAATATATTCAATGCTAATTCACCTCTACAATATAAATATTAAGATGTGTTAAAAATTCAAATTTTGAATTCAAGTCTAGTTTTTTTACCTTTGTCTTCTTATTCCTTCGCAAAGTAAGGGATGATCTGCTTCACTTATATTAGATTTCATGCCTAAAGCTGCGACTGCAGCTTCAAAGCCTAATGTTTCATCAGAATTTTTGTCTTGAGTAGGTGACTGATACAAAACCAAACAATCAAAAATAAACGTTGCCAAATTCAATGGTAACAATGATTCTCCACGTGTTTTATAAAGACCTTCACGTAAAAGTTTTGCTCTATTTTGGAGAATACTTACTTGTTCTTTACCCAATGGCAACATACGTTTTAGATTATTTAATATTTCTGCTTCTTGGTGAGCCATTTTAACCTAAAAAGCAAAACTCGCATGTAGAAAAAAATATACATCAAATTATAACCAAAATATCATTATACAATAATACATTTTTGACATACTTCCAAAGGTTTTGTACTAGCTGGTAGCCTTGGCATTTCTAATCCATATAGCCCAATTCTAAATGCATATAAGTAATATTCTTTTCTTTCAGCCAATACAGAACACAAAAAATAACATTTTTGTAGAATTTCTGATGCAAATGTTGATAGTTGGTGACATACTGGGTTAATCTTTAATTAAAAAAAAAAAAAAATTTAATTCAATTTTAAATATTATGTAAGTGTACTTCAAACATACTTTTCTTCTTTTTCCTTTGATTAAAGGAGGTGGAATATCAATTATAAAATTAGGAGGACTTTTTAAAAATTGGTCAACTAGTTTAACACCAAGTACACAAGCTTCATTAGTATGCCCATAAGCATATAAGCCTTCAGCTCTAGCAAACATTATTTCCCATTCAGCATCTAATTTTATTAATGTTGTAATAGAAGAAGTAGGTTTGGATGTTGATGGTTGAAGTATATCAGGAGCTTTTTCTTGAGATTTTTTTGTACAGTCTGAAGGAGTAAGTGTTAAGGTTTTGGGATCATAATAGTAAAGAAAGTTATAATCATCTACATCTTGTGGTGGTGGTGTTGTTTGAGAAGAAGCAGACTTTTGAGCAGCTGAACGATCCCCACCATCATCACTGCTTTGACTTTCAGATGATGTATTAAACACACTGTTCACTTGTCGTGGAGTACTAGGTTGGGTACTTGATGAAGAACTTGTTGATGGATTAAAAACTAAAAATATAAATTTAACTTTAAAATATATTGATTTAAAACATAATAATTATATTATAATTACCTGGACCCCTGCTGGTTGAGGGTTCATTTGTTAAAAATGCTTCATTACTACCATTACTATTATTCACATTGTCTGGTTGTGTTCGAGATGTATTTCTTGGCATATGTACCCAATAAACATTTGTCATTGATCTATTACTAAAATATCATAAATAAAAATTAGATTATATAACTCAAATACTTCAAATGAGTATTTACATTAATTATTAAAATACATACTCATTATTTTGCATTTGCACGTTACAAACCATATGCATATTACTAGATCTACGATAATCACATCGACTCATTCGGTTCCCATAGTGCATATGACGATTATTTTTTAAATCCAAGAAACATTCATCTAATGCTAACTGAGTTGCATTACCCTAAAATATGTCGTTATCGAAATATTACTCAAATATATCATTAAAATACAACATTATAATTTACAAAATACTAACTAGACATTAATTTACAGTAATAAAACTTTAAAAAAATCATTTACTGATAATACAGACATTTATTAAAATCTCAACTCTTAAATAAAATCCTGTACTATTTGTAATCTAGTACACATGAAACCAAAACACTTCTAGATATTAACAATGTTTACATGTACTTTTGTTTATTTTCATTGTATTATTACACTAATTTTAAATTATAAAATAATTTTTGTAAATCTTTTATAACATTTAAACCAAAGAACAGATGTCAAAAAAATATCCTAACTACAATCTGTTTTGCATGCACTATAATAATTGTATGGTTATATTAACATAAAAAAAATTTCAATTACTAGATAATCATAGTGCAAAATGATTACTAAGTATACTGTATATAAGTATTAAGAGATTAAAGAACAATTAATATAAAACTAGAATAAAAGATGATTTAAAAAAAATGAAACTTTAAAAAAGAATGCAGCAAAAATTTAATTATATTTAAAAAAAAATCGACAGTTTTTTAAAACTGTTGATTTTTAAACCAAACCTTACAAAAACTTTGGTGTATGTTGCAATTTTTTCAAAAATAGATTTTTTAAAATGATAAATTTTATTATTACCAAAACATTGATGTACATATTTTCTATATAGGAATACATAATTTATTTTTTAAATAAATTTGGAAATAGCATTAATATGGCAATTCCAAAAAAATCCATTTTACTCTTTTTTTGAAAAATCATGTTTTTCTGAACATACACTGAAGAATTAGTAAGTTCTGTCTTATGACAAAACACAATTAAAATTTTAACAAATTTAGCATTTAAATTTACATTATCTCCAACATAATTAGATGCTGTTCCTTGATTTTTTACATGTTCACAACATCCACCATTATTGTCACAGCAACAAGTTGTTCCGTATGTTATACCTAAAAATTTTAATTATCATAAAATTATTTTTTTAATTATCATTGGTTAGTGTATTTAGCTATAAATTTTAGTTACTTATATAATTTTACTTACCAGGCAAAGGATAATCATCCCAATTTAAATCACATGCTTCGCTAGCTGGTTTGAATCCAACAAAAATTTCCATGTCTTGACGAAAATGGTTTAACGCTTTACTATTAGATGTATTTCTATGTTTAACTACCTATAAATTCAACTTTTTGGAATAATATTGGCTTTTAAAATAAATATAGAATTAAAATCTTACTCTTGAAAATATTTTTCCTTGCCAATCTTGAAACTTAATTTTTAGTGAAACTCGATGATCAGGTGAAATACTAGGGTTTAATGCAGCCAAACGCCATAAGGTAACCATTTCGTCACAAAGCAAAGCACAAGCATGAGAAGCTGTATTAGTATTACCAGCTGGGCCACTATGTTTACTTCCTCCACTAGGTCCACCACCATGTAGAGCAACTCTAGTATTGAACCACCAAATCATAATCTATAAAATAAATAAAAATGTACAAAATCATCATTTAAAATAATTATTTAACAAATTACTTGATCACATGCTACAGCTTCTTCAGTTAAGACTTCTAAAAGATGTAATGCATTTTCATCATTTCTTCGAAACATTTCTCTAACAATTGATACAAGATTCCATAACCCTTCAGGCTCACGGCCCCTTAAAGGGCGTAATAAATTTGACCACTCAGCAGTAGCAGGAGGCACAGATAATGATAAAATATTAACATCACTAAAATGTATAAGGAAAATAAACATAAATATAAATAATTTTACACATACTTTTGAAAATACCTAATAACTAATGGAGAAGGAACACAAAATTTTATTAAACTTTTCTTAATATTATTGTGCAATGTTTTTTCATCCAAAAACCAAGTAGTTTGTTCATTTATTGATGCTCCTGCAGTTGGATCTGGTGCACCACTTGTCTAGATCAAAAAAATAATAATAATTGACATGGAATTTAATTCAACATAGTTAGTTAATTTTCATACAGAATTAATAGCTGTTGGTTGAGAAGACAATAGTGAATCAAGTAAACGTTGTGCAGCAGGTAATATTTGTTGGGGTAATTCGCTAATTAGATATTGTGCAAATTTTTGTAATTGATCTCGTTCTAAACGAGATAAACTTTCACTAACAGGTGCCCTTAAACAAACTTGATCAGGCTAAAAATAAACAGTTAATCAATCACTAATATTTAAGTATTGTTAATTTCTTTATATAAATAAAAGCTTACACAATAAATTCTATGTAAACAAACTGCTACTACGTGACAACACCAATATGACATTGGTTCACATGTACAATTACATGATGTTATTTTTTTTCTATCAAATGTAATAGCGACATTAAATATACTACGACCACCATGATGAACATTAGCACTTAAATGGAAACCAATTTGTACAGAATCCTTTATAGTATTAGAAGTATACAAGTTTTGACCACGTAAAAACTCATCAGAATTTGAATTAGCTAAACATGAATATAACCGAATATCATCTTCACTATCAGGAAAACTCCAAAAGGCTATACGGAGCTGTAATTCTTCAGGTACAGGTGGATATTCTTGCTCTACTAGTTCATAAGGTATATATAGGGCTACACATTGAGCAGCTAATTCAACTAATGGTTTTACATCATTTTTTGGTTCTGAAAATTAAAAAAAAGTAATACATTAAGAGGCTGATATCACAAAAATTTTTCAAAATAATAATTATCATCTCTAAAATTGACAGTTAATTTTTTTAATACAGATATTTGTCATAATCTTGGAAATTTGTTGATTTTTTTGGTTTAAATACATAAAAACTAATTAAAAGGGTTACTAATATTAATAAAAATTAGTCTAGTTATAATGATTTTTTAAAATTATTTTGGGTCTAGTAACTTAGTAAATTATACAGCATAAACAACTAACACTCTTCATATAATATTTAATAGAAATTAAATAGAAAAAGTAGTATTTAAATATAAAATTAAAACAATTGCCTATCCATTGTAAATAAAACTTAAAAATAATTTTCCTTTTACTTGTACTAGAACTTTTAATTGTAATTTAAAATAAATGATTAATAATATTAAATATAAAAAAAAGATTAATCAGTTAATTCATAACATAATATGTAAAATATAAAAATGATTTAAACATTTTCATAATAGAATTGGATAAAAGATCTATTGAAATAGAATTCAAGAGAAATATATAATTTCATTAGACAATAAATTTTCAAAAGCCTTGGATAAATATATATCTTAGAAATATTTACACTAAATAAAAACAATCAAATAAAATAATAATCTTATGTTATATTTTATATTTATTAAATATTCTATATACTAACCATCTTCATTATTCTGTTCTGTTGGTTTCCTCCATCCTCTCCAATTAATACATGCAGACTCAGGCTCGCTGCTCCACGTACACAATGAATCCTCTTCAAAACGGTCAGAGTCTTCAAATGAATATTGGTCATTTTCATGCCAGATTGCTATCATATTATCATCAATAAGAGGTCGACCATCATGATGGACGTTACCGGAACGCCTTGGTAATACTTGGTGCGCCAGTTTAGATAGGTTGTAAGTTTTTTTATCAAAGAAAAACTACTTTTAAGTAGAATTTAACTGGTTAATTTCATACCCAGGAAGAACCTTGAACCATCAACTTAGAGGTTTTTGACCTCAATCATCACCCTGCAATAATCATAATGACAAATGTACTGGATAAGAAGCGGCCGCGAGCATAGACCAAAGTAGCTGATCTACTAGGTCGACATGTAAGAAATATCACGAACAATCAAACTTCATATTTATTCGTTTAGGTGTTTTTACTACTTAGAAATTTGAACAACGATTATCTAAACAATACTAGTATACGATTACTATCGAATGTTTGATGGAGAAGGCAGTGGAACTGGTAGGGCTTTCTCTCTTCCCTGATTGTTCATTGTTCAGAACTCTGAAAAGGTGCAACTAAGTACGGTGTTCCCTACGTACGGTATTTTTAATACTTTACAATTCCCGCAGAAAATTTATACTATTACGATTAGAGTCTCAAGTTACAACTCCACAGTCTTTTTAATCATTTAAATTGTTCATCTAATAAGTGTTTTCATTTCCATTTTAAATAATTTTACAAAAATAATAAAAATGATAGAAGTTATAAAAATACTCCTGATAAAATGTGTAAGGTAATTACAAAATAATTCTTTATATGGAAACACTGACGCTAAGGTAATCGTTTCCCCTTGATCCACCCGTCTACTGAACAAAACGTAGTAAAGTACATTAGCGTGACGACTGGAATGACTTCATCAGCTGCTGCTGGAATACTATGATAACAAGATATGTGTTATCACGTGCTTAGAATGATATATATAGTGAATTAGTTTACATAGTTTCGTAATTTGTTTGCGTATCTTATTTGTATTAATACAGTTGAATTCTTTTTTAATATTAAGTTACTTTCTTATAAAATTTTTTTTCCCATAACTTATCTAAGAGTTTATTGTAGTTACTGATATATTTTAAAATGCAAAACTGGTTAGAATTTCAAACTGTTATAATGGCTGCAGGGAAAGGATCACGAATACCAGAAATGACAGTCACGAAACCCAAATGTTTATTACCAGTCGGTAATAAACCAATGATCTACTATCCCTTAAAACTACTTGAAAGTTCTGGATTCAAAGGTTAAAGTATAATAGTATTCAGTCAATATGTGATTGTTTGAATATATTATTATGTGTAACTAAACATCAGGGTCACATTTCTCCCAAGAAAGGCATACAAGGAGACTGACAAAGATACTAAATTTTATGGGACCATTTTGATACATTAGCTAATAAAATTCCTATTTTGCAATAGATATACTACACTTTTTTTATTTAATAAAATATGTAAGAGTGATGATGGTTTATTTATGAAGGGGCATTGGGGTCCAGAATTCATCTCAATTGAAATAAAATTATGGCAGTGGCAGAAATAGGAAGAGTGAATCTTTCCATTACTCTATATTATGAAAATTATACGGAATTGTCCCATAACAAATTTCTTTATATAACACTGAATGAAGAGCTCTAATTTAGCAATTACCTTGGAGCTTTAAAACTCAAAGTCTGACCTTATAAAGCACTCATAATAATTTTACTTATTATATTTCTAAAAGTTAAATACTTGCCTTATTTTTTACAAATGTACTTCATTTCCATAATCATATATTTGTAAAATTTGATAAGGTTGACTTAGAATTTAAAAACATTTTAAGCTAACCTAAACCTGACTGTAATACTGATCTAAACAAATGAAGCTTACATACTTGATTAATAATTAATAAATATAATTTTGCTTAATAACTATCATGAAAATAAAATAATAAATTATTGCATACTAACTTACTCATAATATTTTGTATGATTCTAAGTAATGATTATTTGTATGAAAACTNTGTATGATTCTAAGTAATGATTATTTCTATGAAAATTGCAATAAATGAAGTCTGATGTATAAAGGTTGAAAAATAACTAAAAGCAATTATTTGTTGACGTTTTTTCATAATTTTGTAGACTTATACATAGGTTTTTCATTACACAAAAAACATATATTTATTTTTAATTTAAGAAAAATAAAAGATATTTTTTAATTTAATTGGATTTAATCGTGTGTTTGTTCTTTGAAATAGAAATAATTATTAAACTAAATAAAATAATACATTTATTTTGTTGACTTGTTTAATTAAAAAATAACCTTAACAACACTAAAATTGATTATTAATAAACATTATCAAAAAGAAACTTTTTTTAAGCAATTATTGATGAACCTTAATTTTGATAATGCAATGATTTTTGGTTAAATTGCCTATATTTTTAGTATCAGTGATTTTAATACGATAATATATTTAATGTAATAATACTTGATAAATTATATAGAAACAAAAATTATTGTACCAGACAGTTATTCCAGTGATATACAAGAAGAAGTAGATCGACTTGGTTTAGAAATGAGTATTAATTTTGTTCCGATTCCATCAGATGATGATTGGGGAACGGCAGACTCTTTAAGACACATAGCTGATTATATCACAGTAAGAAAAAATATATATTTATCATATGCATACATTTTTTTGTATTTACTTTTTATTGGTAAAACAGACCGATATAATTGTTTTGAGCTGTGACTTCATAACTGATACTGATTTACATGAAGTACTGAACCTGTATAGAAAACACAATGCTTCATTAGTGTCTTTATACTTTTCACCATTACAAAATGAAAAACATGATTTTGTTATACCCGGGCCCAAATCAAAAAATAAAATAGGTAATGTCATTTATCAAAATTTATAACTATTATGTTAATAAATAATGTAACCATAAAAATTTATCATTATAAGATTTCAATGAATTATGTTATATGTTTTGCCTCTTAATTATACACTTATAAAATACATTATTAAAATGTATTCTTTTTTTTAATAGAAAAAGATATAATTGGGTATGATTCAAAAACAAATAGAATTCTATTGATGGCATCAGCTTCAGATTTTGAAGAAACTATGCCATTAAGTAAAGCATTGTTAAATAAATGTTCTAACATTAGACTTAGCTCCAAATTATTAGATGCTCATTTATATATTATGAAACGATGGATAATAAATTATCTTGTTAGCGATAAGTTAGTATCAAATTTATTATAAATCTTTATTAATCAATTTTTTTATTACTACTATTATTTTTTTATCAATGAATGAAAACTTTTAAGGAACATGTCAACTTTAAAAGGTGAGCTGCTTCCATTTGTTGTAAAAAAACAATTATCCAAGCAAAGCACTTATAGAAAAAATTCAAATGAAATAAACCATGATGATAATGATGATGTAAAAACAAATATTTTTACAATGTCAAGAGAATCCAATATTGAATATAATATTCATTCAATGACTTTTTTAAAAAATACAATCAATTCAGAAGACCTAATTAAATGTTATGCATATATAATGGACTCTAACATTGGCATGCGAGCTAACACATTATATGATTATTATAAAATTAATAAAATTGTTAGTACTCAATTTAATACACTAGTTTAATGATAGTTTAGTTTAGGGCTAGATTAATACCATTCTTTTTCTAAAATTTCCATTATAGAATGCGAATTCACAACAGAATTATTAGATAAATATCTATATAAACGATTAAGAACATAATATTTAATTATGCACAATTATTACTTTCAATAAATTTCATAAAATATAATTTTTTAATTAATTAAAATTAATTACCCAAAGTCCTCCATTATGTTATACATTAAAAAATTGAACATAGTTTAAGCAATACCATTATCTGTCCCTTAACTACTCTACACCTTAGTTTTCATTTTAAATGTTATAAATTAATTTATAGGTATATGTGTTTATCAAATTATATAACAACCATTGTAATAGTGTTGATCCTTCATTATTAACTTTGCAATCATAACTGTTATTTACTAATTAATATAAATCTTATATTATCAGTTTGAGGCGACCTAATATGTCAATAACCCTAATATCATTTGATATATTTCTTAGTGGTATGAGCTAAATCTTATGACATTCATTTTAAGATGATGGATTTTTAAAAAAAATAAACATAATTTACATCTATACAGGTCTGTTGGTATTTGTCCTAATTGTGTGCATTATTAAAATAAATATTATTTATTTTTAATTTAAGAAATGTAGTTTTTATAATACTATAACCATTTGATAATAAAAGTTTCATTGTTAAAAAAACTTATGAGTTTGCAACATATAAAAACCCTATTATTTCAAAATAAATCACATATATTTACAACCAAAAAAATATTTTGATGTTATAAATATCTCTTATTTTTAGATATCTAAATTAAGTATAGACATAGGTAATGAAAAAGACAAAATATCTTCCGAAGCCGATATTTTGTCTAATCAGTTAGATAAGGAATCATGTTTTGTTGGTCCAAATACTAAAATAATGGAAAAAACGTCTATAAAAAATAGTAGTATAGGTGCACGATGTACAATTAATTCAAAAACAAGATTAACTGACTGTATTTTGATGAATGGAGTCATAATTGAAGAGAGGTTGGTAAACTACTAACAATTACTCTTTACTATAATAATTAAGTTAACATCAGACATCTAAATACAATAAACTCAATGTATATTTTTGTATTTGTTATGTAATTTTTATATAACCATAATTGTATGACGAAAAATTTATATATATGTATTTTTAAATTAATGTTTAGATGTGTACTTCATAATTGTATAATATGTCATGATGCTATCATCAGTGCTGGATGTGAGCTTAAAGATTGTTTAATTAGTGGAAACTTTAAAGTCCCTCCTGGAGGTAATTATGTTGAAAATATTTTTTTAAGTACTAACATTTAAATTTTTTGTCATTTTTAGGGAAACATTACAATGAAGTTCTTACTGCTATGGACAGATTAATGGAAATCTAAGTTTAACACAACTATTTGATTATGTATATATGTGTGTATTTATAAATACATTAATTTATATTAAATTTACATTAATTATTATTGCATTATTTTGTAGAATATGTTATAATTTTATATAGTTGGCATCAATATTTATAAAAATAAAATGCCATTTATTTTCTATGGATACACTTAATCTATAAAACACTTAACTTTCAAATTATAAATAATTCACAAATTAGTATTTCTCTATAAAATGAAACTTGTCTCAAGTAAGAAAATATTAAGAGTAATACCTTTTAAATACCGACATTGGAATTTATTTCATTTTTTTTTTTATTTGATAAATTATCTGCTATTAATTTATGTTATTGTTATAAAGAGGATTCACTTACTAATGAAAAAGGTTTTTATTCTTTATAACAATCGAACTATTTCATTATTTTTTGAACACTTAAAGAAGAAATAATGATGTATTTAGGAGACTAAATTCCGTGTTAAATTAACATTTAAGATAAAAAAAAGTCGCCGCTAAATTTGTTTTTTTGAAATTAAACAGCTTCCTTTTAGCTGAAAAATTCTGGATAAGCACTGGTAATAATTAAAGATTTTTTTTTATTAAAAGTTATAATATTTATTTTATAATTCTACTATTGCAATAGTTTAATAAGTGATACGGTGAGTAATCAAAGTTTTTCTGTATTTCTTTCGCTGGTAAAATAAATTATACACACGTAAACCATTAATTAAACTTCCTAAAATTATTATTATAAAAAGTGACGTATTTAGGAGTCATCAAATATGTGCCCTCCATTGTTCATGCTATGCTGATATAAAAATTTTATTGAATTTTTACTCGTAATCGACTCAAAAATGAATAAAAAATTTATTCTAGTAGCTTGTAAATTAAAATTTTTATTTGTGATCATTCATTTTGAATTTCTAAATAACCCCTTGATTTTGAAGTTTGTAACTTATTAGGTGAATTTATTATTTTTCGCTAAATTTATATCTTAATTTAATAGATAAGATAAACACTGTATAACAGTTTAAACGGTCAACATAAATTCAACACAATCTACATTTGAAAAAGAAGAATATTTAAATTCAAAATATGATAGCTTAGTGGATCCCATGGAAACTATCACAAGTTCTAACACAAATATATCTAAAACTGACATAGTTTCTGAAGTAGCGAGCATTTTAACTGATGATAAATCTCAAGAATCACTGTTATATAATTTTTCAGAAAATAGTAAATCTCAAAATAATGAAACTGAACTTGAACCAAAAGATATAGTACAAAATTCTTATTTGGATAACCTTAGTAAAAATACCGATAAGGAAAAAGTCGTCGATCAAACTAGCACTAGGTCACAATTAATAAAACCACGCAAATTTTTAGCAACAGATAAACATAATTCTACAGATGCAAAATCTAACGATCTAAACAATTTGTTAATTGAAGTCACGCATACACTAGACACAATGCGAGAAGCTCTCAATACATACATTGAAAATCAAAAACAGACTTTATCGAATGATGACGTGCTTAAAGAAAAGATTATCCACCTGAAAAATTCATCAAAATCTGCGAATGAAAAGAACAAAGAGAACGATAATGTGGCAAACTCAAAATCAAGTAAAAAACACAAAACAATTAAATCGACTACTGTAGATCGAGAATATGTGAAGCCTATAACAAATCATTCAAAACGTACTTCTAAACGATCTTGGCCTCGGTCGAGAACAAGGCATCTATCAATGTGTCCAATGTATGAACCTTCTACTTACGATAATCTCAAAGAAAATTACTATGATGCAGTCAACGAATTTGTTAGATTGCAGGAGGAAGCGAAGTCTATTAACAGTCACGAGAACACAATGGGCGACAAGGTACAAATTGTTGCAAATCTTATCGATGAAATTAACTGGAAACTAGACGACCCAGAATACGAATGTGAAAGTAACATATGTCATTTGTTGAGAGAACGACGACATATAAAAGCAAAGTCAAAAAATTTAGCCAAGATAAGTTTCAGTAAAAAAAAACTGAAGGCGCCGTCTAAAAATAAGTCGTTTCGTAATTATCAAGTAAAATATAGTGGAGCAGCTACGTCTACCGAATACAGAGATAACTTCAAAGATCCGCGAATTCTGTGTAATTCAAATATGAAGTCAGCTAAAAAAGTTTCTACTACGGGACCAAATTATATGACTTCATTAACAGTACAACAAAAACGAAAGTCAGATCCGAATCTGAAACCATTTCCTGCGAAAGATTTCCTATTTTATTCTAATTACGAAAAAGAAATTGAAAAACGTCGGAAATATGAAGCAGATCAGCATTTTGATTCAGTAGAGGATATTGATATTTGTACATGTGCGTTTATTGAAGAGTATTATAGACAACACGGCTGCTCGTATATTAATCATCAAGGGCATATAATAGTCATAGATTGTCCAAGTGACTCTGACGATAATTTCTCACAATCCTCTTTCCTATACGAAGATTAAAAATACTCAATAGTTCCACTTACTTATCTTAGTATATTAAAAGTTGTCAACACGAATGTATAATATATAATATACAACTCTGTATAACAAATAAATTTCTTAAAATTATTCTAAAATATTAATTTAACATAATTCTAACTAAATTGAAATTTTACATTTATACATAGATTTTTTTTTGGAAGAAGAGAATTAAAATTTTAATCAATATGATTCAGTACAATGACTAAAATCTAAACTGTAATAATTATTATTACTACTGTCACATTATTTTAAGTATACGTAGTTAAATAATTAGGACAAATTGATTACATATGAGTATTTAAAGCGCAAGTACTCGTTATAATAGTATTCAAATTACAAAATCGTGACTAATTATCAAAATTTATTAGTTTTTTAGAATTGAAATAATGAGTTAACTATGTAAAATTTAACTTTTTAGAGCCAATATTTTTGGAGAAAGAATGACGTTTTATTTTAATTTATGATATAATAATTAATCAAGAGACAGAGGCGAGAGTGAACATTGAAATTAAAAGTCTAAAATTCCAAAAAAAAATATTTCCTTACAAATAATTAGTCAAATTCATAATTAAATCGAAATTTGTACACAAATAAAATAATTATTTTTATTAATGTTTTTTCACCTTAATTAAAATTAATTAAAACCTTAATGTATAATTAAGTACCTTAAATAGTTGATCGTAAGAAACTAAGTATATGAATCCCAATTTTATTCAAAAATAAAAATTACTGTAATTAGTATTTGTACAAAAAAATCATAGCTTTTCAAAAATATTTCTTAGAAAAACTAAAAAATGGCTACTTCAAACAAAATTAAAAATAAAATGTATAACATTTTTTTTATAACAGATTAATATTACGTTCGATAAAAGTCTACGATTGTAATAATTGTTTTCAAAAAATTAGTTAAATTGATAAAAAATAATTCGATTTTTCATTTCTGAAGCACGTTGATATATTATATAAACAAGCAAATGTATTTATAATTTTGTTAAAATGAATAATTAAAATCCATTTTGTAGCTTCTTTTATAATTGTTAAAAATCAGAAGAATGAATCTAAAAGTGCTAAAAGATATAAATTTGTATACAATCCTTTTATGTACTATGTGAATTTCACCAAAGTAAGTGAACCTATTTATTAGCATTTAGTATAGGGACAGTAGGCAGTAAATTCTAATTAATAATACATAACTTTCGATAGAAAGGGCAGCACTGTTTCTCTTATCACTATATTTTGAATTTCGGCTACACTGCAATAGTTATTTCAATGTGGCCAACCAAATTTACGGTATTTACTACCACTACTAACCATAGGAGTGTGTTAGTGTACTCAGTTTTTGTTCATATACAAATAGTATTGTTTGACCCCGCGTGGTGTTAGTGTGTGTGTGCGTGCGCAAAATTACGTTTTATGTTTACTACCATAGACGACTACTACTACCTCTGCTGCTACTGCTGTTTGGTAATCACGCAGTCAGCTACCACGACGATATTGTGTTATCAGCTTGCACATACTACTGTAATGTACAATGTTCATATAAGTCATAGCTAGTTTATAGTTTTAGTGTGGTGTATGTAGTAGATGTCAATATTATTTTTTATTAATTTATCCAAACTATCAATTTTATTTCCTCTCGAATAAGTGTCCGATTTTTATAGTGTTATTATTTGCGTGCGGGTTATGTTATTAAAATTTCAGTGTAATATTAAGTGTTTAATTGTAGTTATTAATGTTATCGTTACTATGATTGTGGTTCGTAATTTTTTGTTGCCAGCTAAAATTGTCGATATCGTCATCTGACAAACTCAAGAATAACAGATTTGTCGCAAATGACACCACGAAAAACGACGTGGATAAAACCGCCGAACCTTGAACTGGTGCGAATAAGGTATGAATTATCATTGGTAGAAAAGCTATATTATTCATACATTAAAGTTCATTCAAATATTTATTATACAATAAATCACTTTAATTAAATATATTTTTATAGAGATTCTGGGTGAAAAAATACATATTTTTGTGTCGAAGTCATTAGTTTTTTTCTTGTTAGTTTAATTTTTTACGCCATAAGGTGAAAGCCCAGTTAATGTTATTAGTACAATTACTATAATACTTAATAAATATCGTTGTTGTTACTGTTGTTGTATCTATAATATAACTTCAAACGGGTACGATAATAATGACCAGTACGATCTAAATTAATATAACAATATATTACTAGTAACAATGCAAGTCTTGATTAGATATCGTTGTATAATAATTGCGCGTATCATTATTATACGAAATTAATATTCACCATACTACCAATACATGTATCACAGTGTCCATTAATTTTAACGTAATGATAATTATTTGTCGATCTGTGATCTGGGCCAAGGATGTCGATTTGGCTTCATAAATATCTTTATACACAAATAATCAAAATTCTAAAGTTTTTTTTTCACTTTATAACTATTGTTGCAGTGATAAATGTAAAATACGCCTGTTAAGCAATATCAGCAATTTACTGTTAGAAATAGTTCTAGTATTATTACACTTAATGAATGTATAAGAAAGACCTATGAGTCAGATACCTATTTAACTGTAATTCTTTTATTATATGAACTGAGTAATTTTTTAAAATTTTTATTGATTTGAACATTTTTATAAATGTAGTGGAAATTTTATATTTCTTATATTTTCGATTGTATTTCACTCTTATTATTGATTATTTTATTTTAGATAATTAAAATGTATTAAAATTAACATTTTATCAGTGAATGATAAAAAATATTACTCTTGGAAAATATCTTTATTTAATTTAAGGCGAATGTACGGAGTTTTATATTAATAAAAACACTACTTATTTATCTAGCATTATCAAATTAATTACATTAATGAGCATATTCAATTTTTTTTATTATCTCTGTAAACAGAAAAATTTTATGAATACCATATTGCTCAATCCTTTCAATATCATATCTCAAAAAAAAAAAAATTTAGTTTTGCCTTAGAATGTCCTAAAAAAATAATATATCACAATAAAATCGTTTTAATTTGTTTAAAAAAAAAAATTTCGATCTACTACTGTCACAATTAACATTGTAACGAATTTATTTACACTAAATTTTTTTATCTACAGTAATCGTCAAATATATAATATGTTATATAAAATCAATTGTATGCTGCTAGAACACAATTATCATATAATGATAATACAAAAAATGTAATAGAAGTTAGTGTATTGTGAAGGTCATGACGTAAATTTGGTTTCCGGTTGCACTTAGGAGTGACTCATTGTATCGTTCTGATTTAAATTAGTGTTTCCATTTTCCTAAAAATACTTTAATCTACTATAGCAGGATTTTAAATTGAGGATTACTTTTAAAATAAAACCGCAATATTTTGTAAAAACATTATTTGACAATTTAAATATTAAGTTAAGTTTGGGAAATAGAAAGTGTTAAAACTGATTTATTATTTGACAATTCAACTTTATTAAATAAGTAAACTTAATTAAATTTTAATGTAAATAATTTTTCTTTTAGAATTTTAAAAAGAAAATGTCTTAATATTGTAATTATGCAAGAAATATTTGAGTAACAAACAATCTCATAATAGTTGAATATAATGTATGAAAAAGCTTTCTTTTTATTTTGAGAAGTGCAAATAAAATGTGTTTATAAAATAAAATTTTAGGTGTCAAAAAAAAAAAAAAAATTTATACTTATTTCTTAACAAGATATTTTATAAATAATACTAATTAATAGTCAAGTATCTAGAATAATGAATATTTTTTTGAATTGATGTACTTTATAGACATCAATTCAAAAAATGTAACATGTTTAAATTTTAAATAAATAAATTGTTTTTATTTAATACTTCCTTCGTCAGCAAAGGACATTGGATAACGATTTAGTTGAAATGAATGAATAGAATATAAAGATATATACATAATAGTAACAAAGTATATGTTTATTATAATTATAAATGTTACTCATGTATACTAATAAGCTGATGCTCAGTTTTGCAAAGCTTGGTAAAATACATAGTGTTAAAACCACAGATAATTAAATTAAAAAAATTATAACAATTGTAGGTTTTGATTGGCTATGCCTGTATAATAGATAAATAGGAGCTATTTTAGGAGGGGTTAGTGATCTTTAAACTCCTTTGAAATCTTGTCATAACTTTCCTAAAAACAAAAAAATATTGTATGTGTTATAAAACTATAAACAACATACGTATATGTTTAAAAAAATTCTGGAGACAAATTTTGAGGAGTTTAAAGTTCTCTAGCTCCTCTTTAATGCACCTTTGAATTTATACAATTAATATAGAAAAAATATAACATAAATTATTTATTTATTTTTCAATGTTTTTTTAAGACTTCTCTCAAAAAACAGTGATAACATTTTTGTTTTTAAATTCTAACTTCGTAATTATGTTCTATCGTAATTTTAGATTATAAATAATAAATGATGATACTAAGGGTTTATCATCAAAGGTCAAAAGAATTGTGTGTTAAGATTCATTAAAGATTAATATTTATACACTGTAGACTTTTTAAACAGTTATTTCTGGTTTTTATATTCATAATCATAAAATCATGTAAAAAAATTTAAATAATGTGGCTATAGTTATGAAAATCTATATGTATATGGTGTTATACAGATATAATAAAAAATATAATTTTAACACTCTCTTTATATTGTAAATAACTTCATAGTCAAAAACTATCACTATCTTGTGTCATAGTCATAAATGAAACATAATTTTACCTTGGTATATTGTTAAAAAATAGGAACAATATATAATATTGTTGCGCGTTTACCTCTACCCACTTAAGTTGTTTTATTGTATTTTATTTTAATAGAAAGAGAAAGTTTAGATGATCGACACTCCAGAAAATATGATTTTAAAATCGTATGAATCCAGTATTTTTCATTCCGTTACTGTTTAGTATAGATTAGTTAGACTACTATGCACCTTGTGCACAATATGATACAGTATTATATTTAACAAAGAAACATTTTTATTTTTCATTGAAAATTTTTTTTTTTAAGTACTTGTTGGTTTTAATGTAATTTCAGTAAAATAATTTTTTCTACATTGTTGAAAGTTTACGTATTAATAGTTAAATTTTTATTATCTCAATTGTAAAAATTAAATAATTTCTTGTTAAAACTAAAATCAACGACACTCTTGAGGTCCATGAAATAAATGTTTTTCGAGTGTAAATTTTTTAGATATTTCACCGTTTCATTTTTTTATATCAACGTTTACATTTGTAGGTGTAATTGACTGTCGGGTATTTAATTCTCTTCAGCTAACAATTAGTCCCCCTAAAAATTCAGAAAATATTTGTGATATTCAATATTAGCCTNGGATAGAATACCAGATGTTTTAACAAATAAAAAAGAATTATGCTGACTGTTCCATTTTAAACGATTTGTTTTGAAAGGTTACAGCGTGGAAAGAAGTATCTAGATATTTTGTCAAACGTTGATAATTTTTAAAAATTTAATTATGTTTTTACTAAGATTACATGGTAGATTTGATCTATTATACAAGGCAAGTCGCAAATATATTTAGCTGCTACTGTTCAATACGTTTATGATGAATAAAATTCAAGAGAACGCCATTAAATTATATAAAACCCGAGTCGATTGCGTAAAATTATTTTTTATTTAAATTTACTAATAAACTAGATTAATATAATCATTTATATTTATATATTTAGATTGATATTATACAATATAAACAATATTGTTTTTAAAATAATTTTAAACTTATATTTTGTAAAATTATTTATTTTTAAAAGTAAAAGATAAACAAACTTAACTTAATATATAATTTTTTATTTCTGTTTTATTTAAATTTCTAATAAATATTATTTTATTTGAAAAAAAAAACTATACGAGAATAAATATGCAATTTAAACAGTTTATAAAACTGTTTAAAATATGATCAGAACGTAAGAATATGTACTTTGTACAAAGTGTATTTTAAACATCCTAGTGGCCTTAAGATTGCCCTTAAATTTTAAAGTTTGAACACTATAGTAAAACTACTTTGTTTAATCGATATTTATAAACTATTTAATCATAAATGTATATGATATAACAATGACTGGTGGTGACTAATTGTCGGGTTTAACTTTGTGAAGTAATATTAGTTCACCTTAATGAATTGTAGTCTACTGTTCCTAAAATATAATATATTCTCTTAATAACCATTCAATTAATGACAACACTATATTATCCATTAGGAACGTAAAACTAAAATTAATTGCAAATTTTTGATACTAAAAATTATTTTCCGTTAAAGTTGTAGTACTTTCTCTTAGACAGACAGGCTGTTTATAATTTTCATTTCAGTCCTTTATTTTTTCTGTGATTCTTATTAAATTATCATTATACAAAAGTAGTAGTTGAGTAAGCGTATACAATAAACGTAACAATATTTTTGTTGTCAAAGGATTAGAAACTGTGGGTGTAATTGATCGGAAAAAATCTAACTTATTGTATTTAGACTTCCCAATTTATGTTGGCAAGGAGTATTAATCGAATAATTAAATAAATATTTATTATTGTGAATAGAAATCTTCTATTTTTTTATTAAATCAATTTTAACGATTTTCATCTTCGGTGATTCTTATTGTGTATTTAGCTATTATTTTTATCATTTTAATGTATAAATTAATGATTCGTGTTTACTCGTCTTTCTCAACCAAATTGTTCAGCTTTTTCTTTTTTCACTGAATTGATATTTATTTTTTCTATTTTAATTAATAATTTAAAACGATAAAACACGGATGTTCTTATATTAAACCTATTTAAAAAAATAAGTAATTAGCAAAAGGTACATCCTTTCACTCAGAAAAAAAAAAAATTATATGCATCATTT